CCCTGGTGACGACGTCGTCTCACTAGACGTTCCACGTGATAGTGGACGTCACCGTTCTTATCGAGAAGAGTCGGTGGCAAGCGGTGACAACCGGGTCAACCGCCATCCGGTGACTTGCGATGCTCTTTGAGCCCTTGAGGATGAGATCCTTCGTATACGGAGCTCCGCTGAGCGTCATGCCAAAGTAACATATCGCTGTGCGGACGCTCTTGATGATTTTGAGCGAGTCGTGCGCCGGCTGCCTCGCCTTGATGACTACCGCGCTCTGTCGTAGCGACTCCTAGCCGTGGAGGAGGCGAATGCGTCGCTGCAGGCTCCATTGGAGATGGAGGTTGTTGCACTCTGTGCTCAGAACCAGTTGCTGGTTTAGTTTCGGGGTGGCCGAGGGCCCGTGGGATCCGCTCTGGCGCCAACGCTTTCGCGTTCACATGTGCCGGATCCCGTTACGGCTTGAGCAAACCCACGTAAAATGCCGGATGGGTGCACATCCGTTTGGGAAGGCTAAGCGTATACGCTAGGTCCCGCTTGGCCACAACCTTAAACGGTCTGATAAACCGTGGACGAAGCTTCGTCCGGAAGATAGCAGAGGCTGCATGTGTAGGCAGGTCCATAGAGTTTAATGAAATCAGGTCTCCAAGCTTAAAGCTTTCCACTTTGCCTCTTCCCTTTTCATCTGCCTATAATGTATTTAGATTTTATTATACATATTTAGGAAAATCTATGCACTTAAAATTAGGCGGCTTTGCCGCAGATAAGAATAAGAAAGTCAGTTAATTTAAACGAAAGAGTTAACTATCCTTCTGTTAAGGTTGTAGTTACTCTTAGAGTAAGCGGATTGCGATTCGCCAAACACGTACTTGTTCTAAGTATAGAACGAAAGGTCGGTGACCTAACTTACGCTACCTTTAAGCGCAAAGCTACGGCAGCCCCGCTGCAACTAGCTAAGTCAATATTTGCTCCGTTACAGCTTTCCCAGGCTCACACGAATTTGTCTACTAAGGAAACCGCACAGATAGACCGTCCAGAGTTCTACACCCCTCTCTGCACATTACCGTGCCTGCTCTCCTGAGCGTTCTTGCAGTGGGGGCCCGCCCCCGAAAACTCAATTTGGAGGCCATACGCACAGTCTCCGCTCTCGTCGCGCTTGAAGAAAATCTCGGTGGGGATGCCGAGTTTTCTTATATGAGAACGGTCCTAGTAACTCTCCAAATGTCGACCAATCGCTACCGCCTCACTCAACGAATGACGGCCTAGCCATTTCCCAAATAGAAGCGCCCCCTGTATTCAGCTTTCTGGTGCACGAAACTTCAAATGTTATACTCTTCTACATTTGCATTAAGAATTTTACGCACCATCGTAGTCCCCACGTCGTTATCAGCAAAGTGGACATCAATCAAGAAACTCGGTTTGCTTTACAGCATGCGCAAGAGTCATGCCGACAGTTGCCTAGATCAAGTTGTGATTATGATTCTTTAAAATCGTCGAAGTCGCTTGCCGCGCTGTTGTGGAGCTTATACATCTATGTGTGTGGGCCATCCACTCACACCACGAGCGACACATGTGTAAGAAAGTCGCTTCGCTAGCGCTTCCTCAATCCACAGGTCGTCACTCATCAAGACAGCCGTCTCTGCTTGGAGCAGCAGTGGTTAGCCAAGCTTGAGCCCCCATGAAACATTTACCTTATGTACTAGATGATGGCTCGAATGCCGATGAGTATTGTCTCAGTAGAGTGAATAAAACGCGCCACCCCTCTCGTTCTCGGGCTTGATAATCCGGTTTCAGCGAAGAGGGCGTTTGTCTTAACGTCGTCTCATGCTAGACTCTGCAATCTCATAAGCACAACGCGAATGTCGAAGTGACAACTATCATCTCGAGTTCCGGTTGCTAACAGCCCCTTTTGTATCTATGAGCTAACTTTAACAGCTACCAACTCATTGTCTTGCTCACGCAAGGTCAATGACCTTCCACTATCGGGAGGTGTGCTGCAACGAGCATATTGTTCGATTGTGCGCCAGTTCATAAGCGGCCACAGCACCAGGGCAGTCTTGTCAAAGTGGGACCTAAAATTCTACAATTTTTCTGATTGAGCCTGACCTTTGAGATGCCCTGGTGTTCCATTGGTCCACCTAACGTTCCATGTGGAATTGAATCACCCCTGTTTTATTGAACAGAGACTACGGAGGTCTACCTTCTCGCGGCTGGCTCTCGTGAGATCTCTCGGTTGTGGCAGCCAGCGACATGTTTGGAAAGTCTTGGTGTGCGTTCAAAATTGAGATGAGCCCTATCTCGGTTCATCTCTATTATCCGGCATTGACACTGTGTGATTGAGGCCTCAATGGCGCTTTAGAACTGTATCTGTGCTTTTAAACAGATGATAGCTCAGCTACAGTCGGTGACAGCGATGATGATTTGTCTCCTTCATAGCTCTTGACATCCGACTGGCTCGTAAGAGTGGGGTAGTAGTATGGCTTCAATTTGCCCACTCAGAACACAGGATATCTCCGAATGTATCTAAACATTTAAAATTTAACTCAACTCCATTTTCGCTACGACCTTTACCGACCTGATATAGAGTGGTTAAAACTTAATCTCATAGACTGCGGACACTGCATCTGTTAGTAGGTTTTCTGCTTTCAATAAAACGTGTTGCCTCGAATATTCGTGTATGTTTCGTCTGCCTTCGTATCGCATTCCTTTTTTACTTGACTCAGTCATAGCGCCACGCACCCTGAGCTTGATGCTCAATCTCATAGAGGTATGAATTGTGTCTCGGTCTGAACCAGTATGTTTATTTTGTTCGACAGCTCCGACCTCTCTAAAGCCGGACACTTTGCAAAAAATACATAAGATTTTAAAATTGACGCTGTCAAATGCACCACAGGGTATTCCGAAATTATTTGCGTAAAGCAGAATCAAGCCAGTACAGGTATGTATTGTATTATAATGACACAAACTCAATTTGTGAAAGCTCCTCACTTCAGCACCGCGGTCTGTCTGCTCAAGTGATTGGGAGAATAGCCTCTCTCAAGCGATCGCGCGTTCTTCTGACCCTATCTTTACTGATGGTCAGCGGTTGACATATGCAATCTGATGCCGAGCACGTTAGATAATGTTGCCGTTATTTGAGGTACTCGGCATCAGACGCTGTAAAACGTGGATATCGTTGGCACAAATTCACAGTAATCATATAGCTTTCAGCTGACAATTCTTGGAAGAAATGCGGTGGGCGTCATACATCATGTGGCTACAGCCCCCATGCCGCGAGAGCACGATGAATTGCAGGGGATGTAAGCCATACGAACGCACCAGTTGCGATGAAATTCAGCAAATCGAGGACGACCATAGAAAATTCGTTGCTCTTGGATGGCACCGCGATAGCCGCAGATGTTATTTTAGTGTCAGTACGAAAGATTTGAGCCTTGTTCCCCCTTCACTTTAAGCTGAGGGGACGGAGGGTCGGACTCCTACGCAAAAAACGACAAACATTCGTGGAAAAACGGCAGATTTCAATTGGGCGCTCTGCGTCTACCGGGTAGGAAATGGACTGCTTTAACTTCAAAGAGATCGTGGTCAATCAGACCCAGCCTTGAAAAAGCGACTCATTCAATTGAGATGGGGCTTATAGTTCAAGGTTGCTGGTTGCTGACATCAACGCCCCCACTATTGTGAGGCAGTGAATAGTTCGGATGGATTCATTAGATGTACAGTACGCGTGAATACGTTTATAGGAATTAACCATGCCTAATGCGAATACGATATTCGCGCGTCTTGTGGTCAAGGCACTCGTCACAGCGGCGAAAGATTATGTAGAGCCTTTGGGGTGACTTTGAAATTTCTACAGCGTAGAACGTTGTATTGTGCTGGACCCAACTTCATAATACAATATATTTTCAGGCATGGCGTCGACTAAATTCCGCAATTCAAGAGCCGATTGGACGCCGAAATAGTTGTATACTACGCACATCACTCCAGGTGAAGGGTGTGCGATTCATGTAGAATCGCGAAAGCGCAAAGCTGAGGTACCTTCCGCGCAAGACATTGCAATGTAGGATTATTGCTGCTGCGATTTTGGCAAATGCTTTGATGTATGCTCGAAAGACAGTTGGTCTTTCGTCCTATACGTTTCGCCCCACTAGCACCGCTCACCTTGCCTCGTTCTGGCGCAGTGACTTTCTGCCTCCTAGTCTCATTAACTGCGTTTAAGCTAACACTCATTCTACAACTGCTGGTTGTCGACGGCATAGCAGAAGGAACATCCACTTAAGAGTAGCTTTTATTTCGTTTGTGCTTGCGCTGCCTTTGAGTTCAACGAGAATCACAGCTCCGTAATTGGATTGTTGTGTAGGGTCTATGCTGGTACTTGACGTGTGTATCTGAGTAAATAAAAAAGTGTTAAGGCGCGTGTTCAAGGACTCGCCGGATCATCTTTCGCACTCAGAGAATGATGCAGCTCGAAACTACGGATCGTTTTCTACATGCCTTGGTCAAGTCAACAGTCTCCGCACAACCTTCACTGACATCAAATCAAGAACGTCAAGAGCGAACAAGAAGAGCGCAAGGCTAAATGATTGTATCAAGTTACAGATATGTTTTCTAGAAGACCGATAAATTCAAGTGTGATATATCATTCAGTTGAATCAAGCCAACTTTACGTTTAAAACGAGTCTAAATGTCGTAGTTGCATTGAAGCAAGGCAAAGCATCTTGATCCAATCATCATGGCTTCCCTAGAAGTGCTAAAATAAATATTGGACATTTTTGAGAGACGGCAAAGGCTCAGGGAAGAATTAGCACGCAGAGAAACCAAGGTGTAAGACATACAAATGCCTTATTTTTAGGGAATTCGATGCATCGGTCGCCCTGATCCCTGGGCACCAATAATGCCTACCGGGAAATTCCAAAAATGAAGCACGCATTGTTGCGATGATGGCGTTAAATTTGTGGGAATGTGGTAGCATAGTATCTGCGGAGTCGTAAAAAAACAAACAATACCAAAATCGCATGCGTGTGTTTACAAAAGCGTTCGTGCCAAGAGACAATTAGCGTCGCTTGCGCGGTAAGCTGTATGACTTGCGCTAAAGTCGTTGCCAGTCGCTTAAAAATTCAATCGGCAGATTCCACATTTTGCTGGTGCAAACTCGTGAGATCAGCAAACCGGATACAATTATTTATTTACACGCGTAAAACACCCGACGGTGTTTTGTCTGTGGGAACACCCGTCACCTTCGGACGGGTTGTCTCTTGCGCAAGGCGCGTAATGTTTCATCGAACCGACGTCTCGCGTCTATCTAGTATGGTTTGTCGACAAAACCCAGTAGGTGCGGAGCTCTTTACAAGAGAAAAACTGAGTTATGTTGTGCCTGAAAGAGGTAAGAGGCAGCTAGATTTAGCCCTGAAGAGCTCCTTGTCTTGAACACGGATCGTGTATGCAACCCCTCGGTGTCACGTTTCTTGACTTTGATAGTGTAAGACGCCGCTTAGTCTTAGACTTGGGCGCAAGATACAACCATATCCTTGGTATGGCATGGTTGAAACTCCACGAGACATAGTTTGTTTGCAGATCAAAGACCTTAAACGCTACACGCAAGTATTTGGTCGAGCTTTGGTGAGTCATGAACCCGACTTCGCGTTCGGAAGCCGAGTGGCAAGTGGCGTGTCGCTCACGAATACAATAAGCTAAACGCTGCCACCATACCGGCACAGATGCCAATTCCTAGAAAGGAAGTTATCCAGAACAATATGGCTGGTTGTACAAAATACAGCGCACTTGACTTGGTCGATGGTTATCACCAATTGCTCGTGAGAGCGAGTGATATTCCGCTAATAGCGGTGAGGTTTTCGAGCGGGATGCCGCAAGGGCTGCCAAATGCACCAGCAACATTTAATCGTCTTGTGACGCAATTTTCAGGTCCCTCCGCAGTCATGCGAGGCGTAGGAGGACAGATGAGGAAAAACCGGGGCTCGAGTGAATGCGCACGAATATGCTGCATGCTAATGCCGATAGGTGAATCTTCGGCGCGGAAGAGTCACCTTATTACGGTGCTTCATTGAGAAGCGTCGCTTTCGAATGGGATGCTCTCAAGACCATTGTAGACTTCTTGGTTCCGAAGAACAAGAGGATTTGCGCAAGTGACTTGGCCTGAGCCAACTACTTGCACTAGTATATGGTCAATTATGCGGTTATGGCACGGCCATTGCTGAGTCTTCTTAAAAAGGATATGGAATGGTGTTGGGATACCGAGCATCGAAAGACTTTTGACAGTGTCAAAGACAGCCTCCTTCATACACCAATACTGGCGCTGCCAGAACCCGATCGTCCTTTAAGTGTCGTCTGTGACGCTTCGGATTTTGCCATCGGCTGTGCACTGCTGTAAGCAGACACCAAGGGGCGAGATCGTGTGATCACGTTCGACTCTCGCCAATTTAAGACTGCGGAGAGGAGCTGCCCAGTTCACGACAAGGGATTACTTGCGATGAAGTATGCGCTGTCAAGTTCAGTGTGCACCTGCTGGGGCCAAAACCGATTGTGATCTACACAAATCATGCGTCACTACGCACTGCGACTCAGTCGCCTCGCCCCTCTCGCCAATTGGCTCTCATTCTTTGTCGAAGATTACTTTGAGGTGAAGTGTAGGCCAGGAAAGCAGAAAACTTTGGCCGATGAGTTGTCATGTAGACCGAATTATGAGCTTGCTCATGTCACGACGGTGACTCCGTCAGTTAAAGATTCGACTCGCGCCGCGTACGCGGGTGATGGTATGTGTGTAACGCTGCTACAGACTTTCGGGGGCAAGAAACTTGGAAACTCGGACAAGAAATTGTTTTATAGCACCAATTCAACGGATACGCTACAATGTATAGTTCCTCACGATGAGGATTTGAAATACCGTATCCTCTATGAGGCCCAATACATCCCACTCAGTGGTCATGTTGGCCGTGAGAGGACGTACAGCTCAGTGAGGTGCTACTGTTGGTGGCTCAAGCTGTACAAATGGACAAACATATATGTGCGCACGTGTGAGACATGTCAGAGGGTGACACCCTCTCCGAATGCGGCGGCGTCGCTGGCCAGCTTACCGGTGTTGGCTGTCCATGAGTATGGACTTTGTGTTTGACCTGCCGAGGGACTCTACAAATGTTGTGATCTGTGGATCGTTTGAGCAAGATGACTCATCTTGCGGCCGTGCCGGACACCATATACAGTGTGGGTACAGCGAAGCTGTTTGTCGATCGTGTCTTTCGGCAGCATGGACTCCCGGGGTCAATTGTCTCTGATAGAGACCGACGCTTTACTTAGAAGTTTTGGTCTAAAATCTTCAGGGTGCTGGGCACCACTTTAAATATGTCAACCGCGGACCATCCGCAGACTGATGGTCAGACCGAGCGGGTAAATCGCGCCGGTGGAATGGTTCTTCGCAGCATTTGTTCTGAGACACCGAAGCGCGGGAGCGCCATGTTGCCACTCGTAGAGTTTGCTCTGAACAATGCAGTCCGTTTATCTACCGGCTACACGCCGCTTTATGTGAACGGGCTTCTGAATCCTCGCGTGCCGCTGACGTACTTATTCTATGGCTCAAGGCTTTGTGGAGGAGGAATAACCGAACGGCTAGCTTATGCCAGCCCCCTCACTGTTCGTAA